TCAGTTAATAAAAGCCTAGCGATTCTGCGTAAGTTCAGTTAATAAAGGCCCAGTGATTCTACGTAAGTTCAGTGCTTACTTTTAGATATGGTAGATTAATTTTGTTAATGTTTCATTTATAGGTTATTTATATATTTATTTATTACATTCTTCGAACGAACTTTATTGAGAACTAAAGGAAACTTGGCATTCTTTAAATATATATTAAAATTTAGTAAAAGGTGAAAATAAAATACTATGAAGCTTATCCCATTTACATATATATATATATATATATATATATATATATATATATATATATATATATATTCATTATTTTTCGATCATAGCTAATATATAATATTTAAAAATATTTTATCGATTTATTGATATTTTCCTTCCACTCCTTAAATGCTAAACATTTGATTTAGCTTATGAAAGCAAATGCAAATTCTTATAGTTATTTGATTTTGAGCATTAAACAATGTGAAGTTTCACTTCTCTAACATTAAACATATTTCAGGTGATCAGATACGAGTGATTGGACATAATAAAGCTGGTGAATGGTGTGAGGCACAATTGGTAAATACTCGACGTGAAAATTCGAGACGTACTGGTTGCATTGGTTGGGTACCATCATCCTACATTGCACCGTCTAATTCATTGGAAAAGCATTCATGGTATCATTCTTTTGTATGATTACAGTAAAATGTACGGAAACATAAGTAAATTGTGATAAAGTAGTTGATAAATGATAAGTAAACGCTTATTACAAGTCATCTATTGTTTGTTTAATCAAAATTTAAATACAGGCATATTAAAATACGAAGTTTGTAGGAATTTATGAGTGCAATGCATACTCCTAACAGGCGCTTAGAGTAGTTTAAGTATTTATTATAAGTATTTGTTACAAGTTTAAGTATTTATTATAATTATTAGTATTTATTATATCTATTCACTAATAGGCAAATTTCAACTTACATGTACGAATTTAACGTAGAAATTCATGAAATGATTAAAAATAATCACTTTTTAAATGTTTATCTCAGTTTTAGATATTTCATAAAGTGAATATTTGATCGCCGGTGGCGTGAAGTCATTTTTTGTTAATTCCTTTTACTTACTTTACTTATAATTACATCTTTGCCCCAGATTTTGTTGCGTGAAATAGCTGACAATAAAAGATAATAAATGATTGATAAGATTTGGGGTAGTTCTTCATCTTTTCGAATTATTAATTACTGTATGATGGATTCAGGTATCATGGGAAAGTAAGCCGAAGCGAAAGTGAATACCTATTAAGTTCTGGTATTAGCGGTAGCTTTTTGGTGCGTGAATCGGAAACTAGCATCGGACAATTTTCAATTTCAGTACGACATGATGGTCGCGTTTACCACTATCGGATTTCAGTGGATCGTAACGATTGGGTAACTTTTTATTTTTATATTTTATCTTTCTGTTTTGAAATTTATTTTTCATTTATTTTTTAAACTTACTAAACTACTGATTATTTTGCACAAATTTCTTAAAAATTAAATTTTTTTTTCTGTTTACTTTTTCTATCCTTTTTGGCACATAATTTACTCTTACTATTGCTATAACTAGCTAAATGTTTGCTTATTTATTTATCCTTTATTGATCTGATTTAATTTGCCCACTATGATTCATCCAACATTTGTCCATCTCCACCATAATTTGCGAACTCACAAAAATTTACAACTTTATCGGTATCCATTAGCATAATTATGTTTTATTGATAGATTTAATGCTTAGGATATCGTTTCCAAATGCGTAATTCTAGAACATTTACTTATCATTATTTTAAGCATATCAGGATATACCAGGGATTGATATATTCCAATTTAGGCTTTGTTTATAGGAGTTGTTTCAATCTTTACATATGCTTCGAGTATTTCTATTTCTGTATTTGTTTATTCAACAGTTTTTCGAATGTTCATTAATAAATTTCTTTGATGGATTACTTACAGTTGTACATAACGCAAGAAAGTAAATTCAAAACACTGGGCGAATTAGTCCATCATCATAGTCTTCATGCGGATGGCCTCATCTGTACGTTACTCTATCCAGCACCCAAAAAGGAACGACCACCGATGGTATTTTCATTATCGCCAACTCAACCCGATGATTGGGAAGTGGAGCGATCGGAAATTATCATGAGAAGTAAACTTGGTATGGTTTTTTTTCTTCACCTTTTTTTTTAAATTACTTTTTAAGTAGACATTTGTCTATCGTTATATACAGATGTAAAAAATCAAGGCTTATCTTTCCAATCCGTGCAGTTCATATTTTCTCATTCATTTCGACATTTTTAATATCATTTTGATTTCTTCATTCTTTTCTAATTTTATATAAATCTTCATTAGGAGGTGGACAATACGGCGATGTTTATGAAGGCTATTGGAAAAAACATGAAAAAGTAGTTGCTGTGAAAACTTTAAAAGTAAGTTTTTTTTTTCTCCACCGATGTGACCAACTTTGTGCTGATCAGTTATTTCATGATTTAAAATATGAAAATTATTCTTATCTCTTGTTCTAAGCTGTTCATTTTGACGGTCTACATTTGCCTAATTGTCGCGGAGCAGTTAAAATTCGGCAATTTTGATTAGTCGAAAGTGTTATGGAAGTATTTAATATTGACCGATTATCCTTCTAACATCATAATTATTAATGGCATCCAGAAATGTTAATGTTCTTTTCTTTCTTTCAATATCTTATGAACTGAATGGAAGTGCCTTCAGGAAGAAGCAATGGCGTTACACGACTTTTTGGCGGAAGCAGCAATTATGAAAGATTTACATCATCCAAATTTGGTGCAGTTGATGGGAGTATGTACTCGTGAACCGCCATTTTATATTATCACCGAATATATGAATAGAGGAAATTTGCTCGATTATCTCAGGTTTGTTGGAACTATTACTACATAAATTTCATAATGAATTCTCGTTCCAATATTTCATATTGAAATATCAAAATTTCGATTGCTTGTCAAAAGTACCAGATCTAAATTTACTCCAATTTCATTCCAACTTTCAATATTTTTATTTCAAAAAATTTTTGGACACATTTATTATGTTTTCAACTTGATCTGTGATCACATATTTGATTAATCTTGCTTTTATTTATTAATTAAAATACTTTCTCAAGTAGTTGAGCCATCATTTTCTATTTTAACGCTTTACATTAATCCATGGTGTATACTGAATCAGTCTATGAAAAGGTTCCTTCTCATTATTACTTTTTTTGTATGAAATAATTATTTCAAATGATTCCAGTAATATGCTGGGTAAATTCAAGAACTAAGACATACTCTGTGCTTTAGTCTACTAAATACTGGCTCTTCAGGAAATGTGATAAGAAATTATCACCAACTGTGTTAATGTATATGGCTACGCAGATTGCATCCGGAATGGCTTATCTTGAATCCCGTAATTTCATCCATCGGTAAAATTCAGTGGAAATTTTTTTGAAGCTAATTACAATCTATTTTTAGGAAATTTAAATTCCAATAACAATTGAAAATTTGTGATTCAGTAATATTTTTTAATTTGTATTTAATTCATTTGTTATAAATTCAATTCTAACTATCAATATATTTTAATGTCAGATGCGTGAAATAGAATATTTTAGTATTTGAGTATATGATAAAATAATAATTTTTTAAAGATTAAAATTTTTCAGCGATTTGGCTGCACGAAATTGTTTGGTAGCAGAAGAAAATGTTGTCAAAGTTGCTGATTTTGGTCTTGCACGATTCATGAGAGAAGATACATATACTGCTCATGCTGGAGCAAAGTTTCCCATTAAATGGACTGCACCAGAAGGTCTTGCCTATAATACATTCAGGTTATCCTATTCATTATTTTTTTCGGGACTTAACTAAATTAGCTCATATATCAAATGGGATAAAATAAATGATAAAAGCAAGTAGGAGAAGATGGCCAATTAGGACAAGCAACAATATGAAGTGGAAAAGAAACAATAGAAGAAGAAATAAGACAAATAAGGATCGAAAATAATAGTTTTCTTTCTTTTTCTTCCTTCATCATGCTTTGTTTTTTTTTCTTTAAACTCGACTAATTTTGTTTTAGAACTTTTTTTTTTTTATCAAATATTAAAGCCATGAATAAAAGATATGAACGTCATTTGATTATAATTAGATTAATAGTAACGTGAGTGAATATTATTTTACTCTTGAGTTAATTACATGAACTTCGATTTTTTTAAAGTATCTTCTGAAATCTAAAATTTGATACGCTGAACTTTTATTGAAATAAATTGTTTCCTTTCGATGATTACAATAACGTTTTACTGTTTCAGTACGAAAAGTGATGTCTGGGCATTTGGTGTGCTTTTATGGGAAATTGCTACTTATGGGATGAGCCCATATCCAGGTGTTGAATTGAACAGTGTTTACGCATTGCTGGAAAAGGGTTTTCGAATGGATGCTCCGGAAGGTTGTCCTCCATCAGTTTATCGGTTGATGTTACAGTGCTGGAATTGGTCACCTAGTGATCGGCCACGTTTCAAAGAAATCCATGCCAGCTTGGAATCACTTTTTCCACAATCCAATATTGATGAAGAGGTTAGTTATAGTGAAAGAGGAGGAGTAAATTTTCAGAATTATACTTCGACATGCGGTATTTATAATAATTTGATCAGACACTAATGGTGAAATCTTTTTTAGGTTGACAAACAGTTAGAACGTTCACGTACATCATTACATCGTCATGGTTCGTCATCTCACCGCATTTCAATAGGTACTGATTGCGTCAATATTCCGTCAAGCGTTGTACCAGTTGCATCCCCACGTATCTCAGGCATCCATGGTAGCGGTAGTGCTAGAAATGGTGTTGGTACGGTTGCTACAGTTCCAGCAACTTGCACTTCATCAACTGGTACGGCATTACCACCACCTACTATCGAATTCCCACCACCACCGCCATGGAACCAAGATAGTTACACCGGTGGTACGTCGTCAAATTCTTCGACAGCTACCCAGTGCAGTAGTGCACGTGACGTTCGAGATGCAGCTAGGATGAAAGCAGTTCAGCGTAATTTGCCGTTACCAATTCCACCATCAAGTTCAAAGCCAAAATTGCAAAAACTAGGTTAGTGGTTAACTTCAATAGTGCTAGCAAAAAAAGATTTGCGAACTCCCACTTTCAATTAGTAAAATCATAGGCAATACTTGAATAAAATTGGAAATTAGGTTGTTTAAAACTCTTTAAATGGAAGTGATAACTATTATCTCTCAAAATGTTAACTATAGAGAACTGTGACTATAATTCCATCAGTTGTATATGAGACTGAGTAATTTAAAAATGTTCAAATTCAGGCAGTTGATATCTAAATTTGCATCAAGATTTTTCCCAAATGATTTGTATTTCAATTTTCAGTTCTAATGTCGGACAAATTACAGATAGTGCACCAAAGTGTGATGTGTTGGTTTCACCGTTAGCGGAGAGAAATTTACGTAAAGCGGTCAGTAAATTTGGTACCATGCCAAAAAATGCTCGAATTGATGCATATCTGGAATCGATGTCATTGCAGGAGGACGTTGATCAGTCACCAAATGCCAGTGGTGAGTACAGTGGTGGCCTATCGGATGATTCTTTGGATGCTGTTCCAGTTTCCTATAATAATTGCTGGAGTAGGTAAGTGTGGAGATTGAAATTTCAAAAGTTTTGAATACTAAGATTTTTTCTCTGCAAGAATCGATTGTTTTAGAATTTCAACTTTTCTCAGGAAGCTTTGAAATCACTAAAAATTCTTTTTTGGTAATAATCTTTTCATATGAATATGGTTCACTATTTAGAGCAAATTTTTAAAAAAATTTTTATTGTCGTCTTTACGTAATTGTTTAAATTTCCAGTACTTTTAGATTTTTTTTTCCATTTCATTTAGCCTTTTTATACTCTGAACTTAATGCATTCGTGCAATATTTTTATTTCATTTGTTTTTCTTACTCAGTAATATACTTTAATTCAGTTATTTTGTTTAATGCTATTTTAAAACTTAATTCTATTTTATTTCATTTTATTTTACTTTTTCTCCCATCTAGTGTTTCAAGGTATTATTGGATTGGAATTGTTGAAATAAAGTGAAAATGTGATAGTTATCTTACTTCAGTTTACTTTATCAATATTCATCCAGGTTTAATCCAATACTGCTTTGCAACATTGAATGCAGAAAAAGTGCTTCCTTATCAAAAATAAATGAAATAATATGAAAAATAAGCTAATAAAATTTCATCTAATTTTATTACCTTATTGACCCAAGTTACTTTATCTTTTGTTCGATAAAATCCTTAACCCCTTTCCTTCAAGATAGCTTTTTAGAATGTTGTTGCTAGTACTTTAGTTACTGTCATTGTTGTCTACTTTAATTACTGTCATTGTCGTTTATCTTTTTTTTTAAATCAATTTCAGAAATGCATCTGATGCAATGAGTGAAAGTGTCAATTTGGGTCAAAATGAGTTGCTACAGCAATTGAAACAACGTCTGAAAAAAACTAAATCAGAATCTCCGGTAACTATTGCTTCTTGTCTTACTGATGTTAACAATATGACAAGTATAGCTGAAAGAATGGAACCATCAGTAGCAGTAATTACGAAAACCGATTCGAAGTTGAAAAAGGTATGATTTAGAATTTTAAATGGTTGAAACTATCAGAAATTTAAAAGATTGAAGTAATTAAGAATTTCATTCAACAATACGATTGTCATTTTCAGTCATCATATTCAATATTTTTATACACGATATGATGATTTCAGAGCAGCTTCAATCTACACAAATTTCTCTAAAAAAGACTAGTGTTGAAAGAAATAAATCATTTCATTTGATTCACCCTCTAGTTAAACTGTCGCTGATTTTCACATTTCTTTTCAAAACTCTAATCCACTACGATATCGACCGTCGGACTATCTTCGTAGTTAGAATTTTTAATGGATTTTCTTTTCTTTTTTTTCAAATCATGTGTCAGATTGTTCCTTTTCGAGCCAAATCTAATTGAAAAAAAATCATCCGTTCAGCTGAATGATGTACCAAAACAATCAGAGGAGCAATGGTCACAAAGAAGAAAGACAGCAGCCGTACGATCGTTAAAATCAAAAGATTTGCCTCGTCAAGTTATTGCTGGTGGTACTGAAACTATGGCCGTAAATAGTGCTGTCACAAAAAATGATCGAGCTCAGAGTGTTGGAGAAAATGAACTACGAGCACGAATACGTCAACTACGACATGTAGAAAAGCGAAAACCAGTTGAAAAACAAAAGTATGCTTTCGTTTTATAAGTACTATGTAGAGGAAGTATTATTGTTGCTATATGAATGAACAAGCTTAAAAGATAAGTTAAAAGCCAAGTTCTGAATCTTTATGGTAATATTTTATCATTAATACATTTTTTCATTGAGATTAATGACGTAAACTTCTGATTCCTTTTTGCTTATTTTTTGAAAAATATGAAATTCTTCACTTCAAAATTAACTAAATTTATTGTACTGAGAAAGCTATTTAGATTTTCTGATTCACTGATGTTAATTATGGCGACTGTGGTTTCCATAGCTTTTTTCAGTTTGAATTTTCAGAAAAGAATGAGTAAAAATTAGCAATGGCATTCATATTTTAATCATATTCCTCTATTACCCACTTCATTTTCAGGAATGTTCAAAATTTAATGCTGACGTATTGTATGTGACATTATTCAATTAATTTATTTTCTAGCCGGATTGGTGAACGACGTGAACCAATTAACATCGAAACAGCGCGAGTACGGACATTGATAACGCAAAAAGTTGCCCCACTGCAGCATCATCGTCCATTTTCGATGCAACCGGATACTGGAAGTAGTGAATCTTCCGATGATGATTCCAGTAAAGGTACTTTTTACCAATAATTTGTTAATGTTTTCATTGGAAGGATCAGATGCTGCTGCGTAAGATTTTTCTTTTTTCGATTTCTTGACTATAAGTTGAGACTAAGGAGTATATTCGGCTATCTCCAACACCCATTTGTATTCCTTAATTATAAAACTGTGCTGTATAATTTTTGCGGATATCGTCAATTTTTTTAATTCACCTATTCCAATGTAAATCTTCGGGAAAAAAAAATAGAAAATTGTCAATAATAAATTTATCATTCACTTTTTTAGCAGTCATAGTACAGCCGGAACGGCAGAAAAAAGAACCCTTGCCGCAAAGATCCATTGCTAAATCACATCCCAGAGCTTATTCCACACTACAAAGATCAGTCAAGGTAAATCTTTCCTAGAATTTCATTAAAATTACTGTTTAATTTCCGATTTTAACTGTCTATACGAAATATCCAGCACATGACATCCTACGGATGTTCGGACCAATGTAGTGCTTCTTTGATGCTGTAGAAAAATGCCAAACTGATATTATCCCTAATCCTATTTCTAGGTTATGGACCTATTTGGATTTCAGGCCAGTTCTGTAATACTATCAAAAAGAGCCGCTGCTAATAGTGGTATAGATGACGGTAACGATTTGACTAAATTAAGACCTGAGGTAACAGCTCACTCTACAATACCCGATTGCAATGAAACAGACGAGCTCGAACTTAACGGGAGCATGATACGAACCCAATCACTCCGTGATATCACTTCAAAATTCGAAAAAATGGGCAATCCGGGTTTGATTGCGACACCTTCCAAAGGCAATTTTCCTTTTATTTTGATCAGATCAAACTTTACTTCAGTGGAAAATTTTTTTAATGGGATTCGGATTCGAAAAATTTAGATAATATCATTTAGAGAACTTTCATGCTTGATCTTGTCAATGCAGTATAGTATTGTGAAATTTGAGCAAAATTTTTTTTTTTGCAATAGCGGTCGTGTAACTTCATTATTTCATGAGAAGTAAATCTGCCATAGAAATAATTCATGAAAAGTAATTCTATCAATTTAATTAAAATTACGCTTGTCAATTATCTAATTAATAGATATAACTGTTCGAATTTGAGGACCGCTCCTTCGTACTGGAGAGAAACGTTACTCGATGATGGAAAATGTCACCGGCGCACATGATGTGGTATCCAATTCTGATGGCTCAATTTCCACTGCCCGAGAAAGTAGTCAACCTGCTGTAAGTATATATACTTTGGTATGAAAGCTTTTAGTTAGAGTGCTATTTTTACCAGTAAGTTACTGGTAGAGACTGTATTGCATACGATTTCGTTAGAGTAAACACCAAGCTAAAAAACTTTTGTTTAAGACTAGTAATATTCCGTCCATGTTTGGAAAACTCCTAAATCAGTAAAACTAGTAATAAGCTAATCTGAATCCTAGAATTTAAGAAGTAATTGCGCTGCTCTTTTTTTCAATTTGTCATTTAAATCATATTTATATGTATCATATGTTTGTTTATAGTGAGCTAGTTATTAATTAAATAACTTAAGGTAAGCCGAGATTCATTGTTGGATTTGTATCGGCGTTTGGAAAGCTGTATTTGTGATTTACGTAACGAGCGCGTTTGCCGAGTCAAAGGACAGCATGCCAATTGTAGTACCGATGGTCAGCATGCGTTATTGATTCGATTAAGTGATTTAATGCAACAATTCCATCACTTATGCGCCATTTATGCTGAAAATATTTCACCGCATTCAAAATTTCGCTATCGGTCAGTTCCTGTCAAATTTTAAAGGGAAAAGAGAATTCTGCATAAACTTATTTAAAAAATTGTGTGAAAATTCATTATAAAAGTGCCCTCAAAATGCTTTCGTCGTCATTCAATGAAAAGTACTTATTATACTTCCTGTTTTATTTTGTTGAATATCCAAGTAGATATCTATATATCTATAATTTAGCTTAAGTAGATACCTATAATTTAGCTTAAGTAAGTAGATACCTATAATTTAGCTTAAGTACTTGTGTAATTTGCCTTTTTCAATTTTTAAAAATACATCAGCTGAACTCAATTCATTTGAAAAAAAAAACCCTCTATTAAAAGGATAATTAGAGCAAAGGCTTAGAGGTTGTTTGAAATGTACCAATTTCACAAAAAAAAGAAAAACGTAATGACAAACAGAATTATTTAACATTCTACTTTTCTAATTTTACCAATACATTGTTACACATTGTTTTTTTCTTTTTTTTTTTTTTACTATAATTCTCAAATTTATTTGAATTCATAATATGCAATGGTGTATTTTTTTATTTGTCACAAAGTTTTTTTTGGCTTTCAAAAAAAATTTTTTCTTAATCTATTGAAATCAATGAAAACGAATACAAATAAATTACTGTAATTGAGATTTTTTCTTTTGTCCTTTGCTTTTGAATAGAGTTTATTTGAATTTGTATACTTTTAATTTTTAAATTACAGTGAGTTGCTGAATCGTATGGATGTTTTTATCCGTCAGCTACGGCAATGTGCTTCTTCTTCTAATGAAGTTAGGCAGGCTGAACAACATATTATACCTCAATTTGAGCAAACAATTCGTCAAATTATGCACTTAGTGCAAAGGTAATTTTTGTTTACCTGCTAGCTTTGTTATTGACGTTCTTCTTTTTCCCTTCAGGTATTTGCTCTTTAAGGCCTTCTTGTATACACTTTCATGCAGACTTTTTAGGAACTTTAATTGTGATACTACACTCTCAATCAATAATACCTTGGTTAAAATTTTCAAACAAGAATATGAGGTCTTAATTTTGCCCAGACCTTGAGCCCGATTCTACATATGTAATACTGGAAAAAATTAATTATGCAATCAAAGTGAGATAAGTAACAGTCACATAGTTTAGAGTAAGGCCTTAGATCTCTGATACTTTCGAAGGATATGAGGATATGATTAATTGACCGACGAATGATAATGCTTAATGGTGCTTCAAACTTTGACTATATTTTATGCTAATTTTACATCTGTATGATTCATGTTGATGTACTGGTTAATTTCTTTTGTATCGAATTTGTCACGTGATAATTTTCCGGTCGGCGTTCATCTTTTTTTTTTCATGCTTTGAATCTTCTATGATTCTGTAATGCTGGATTTCCGGGCTTATGATATGTTTGGTTGTATTTGTTGTTTTTAATTTTAAGATCTCTTTACAATTCTTTAGTTGGTTTTTTTTTTCATACCTAATGACATTTTGTTTTAAATTTGGTAGACTTTGATCATGCTTAAAAATGGCATGTTCGCAAAGAAATGTCTTTTCGGATGTTAGTTTGTATTAACTCTGAAAAACTTTTTTCCAGAGAGTTACTGCTTAAATTTGAAAAAGGGTAATCTGTGAAAAAAAAAAAAGACAAAAGGCGATACGATAATTAATGGTTTTCGAAAAATCAGAACGAGAAACAATCTTGGATTATGAAAGATTCATTTACTGTGGTAATTGACATGAGTTTTTATTATAATTGATAATTCGGGGAAAAAAAATTTTTTTTTAAGGGCGAAAAATTATAACCGAATAGATGAATTGGAATTTCAAACAAAACAAACAATTTATAGCATTATTTTATCTATCCTTTATTTTATTTTATTTTCAAATAATTTCGATTATTTACTGTGCATTACTTCATTCACTTCCACTATTAAATGTTTTATAATATGTTAATATTATACAATGAAGACGATTTTTCTTCTATGCTAATTGAGTATTTGGTTCGATTTTTGATTTCTTTAATTTCTAAGAATTAAGCTCCTCTTTCCTCTTTTTTTTCCACCTGACATGATCAAATTAAAAATATTCAAATATTTCTACATTACTATCATATTATAAATTCTGCATTGTATAATTTGATTTATTAACGAGGATGATGTTGATGATGATGATGATGATTCTATTGATATTTATTACATCTACATTTACTTTTTCTCTTCTTCTTTTTGATTGTTTAATTAAATTTTACGATCAAAGAAATAAATTTATTCATTTCATATTGTATGCTTTATGTTTTGAATAAAATAAGAATAGGAAATGGAATAGCATGAAATTTTTAGGAAAAATATGACAGTTGCTAAATATAGAAATAAAATCACTTATCAAATGCTCTACATGATATACCAACTGAGGATGTAGAAAGAGATATTATGTCAATTTACAAACTTCCTTTTAATTGTCTTTTTCTTTGGCTTATATATTTAACAAGATGTTTAGTAATTATTTGATAATTTTTATCGTATAATCCAGATTAAGGAAAGTAAAGTATAGTTTACATTTAGCCATAGTTTGTTGATATTTTTTTAGCTAATTGATATTTCAGCTGTAAAGTAGAAAAAATAGCTGATTGTTAGCGCTTTTTTTTTCCCTGTCGTTATCTGGTGGTCGATGAACCTGGTTTCAAACTACGGATATTCTTTTTTCCTGGAAAAGAAAGCACTGACTCTGCAGTTTGTTGTTAAAGAAAAATTCAAAAAAATTTACCGCCGGATGGAAATTTGCATAACGACTATGGGTATACGATGGGTATACGACTATGGGTATACGGACCTGGTTTTTTTTTTTGGTAAGAAGGGATTCGACATGTTATCATATCGAAGTAAATGGAAATGGATTTTGCTAAATGCCATACTTGTTAGCAGTCTACCTATCCATTATTAATGTTTTCAATGAAATATTATCTTGAAGATTTATTCTTGACTCACTAAGTGTGTGGAAATGTTTCAGTTCTTTGAGCGTGAAAAATTAATCCTTTTTTTTTATAAATGAAAAAAAGGGGCAAGAAAAAACAATTTGATGCTTTATTCGAAATACTTAAAACAGACGATATATTGTTACATGCATTGCAATGCAAGATTAACACGATTAAATTACTCCACAATTTGTTGATGCAAAAGAAAAATTCGAAAAAATTTCCCGCCAAGATGAAAGTTTGCATAACGAACCACATCTTCAATGCTTTCATGAATTTGGAATATGTTTGTTAGATTACTCCATGGGGACAGTCGCATCGAGAAAGGTGGGACCGACGGATTTGTTTAATTAAAAGCAAATTTTACAAGCAGAAAATGATCACTCGTTTTAAATCCATTACTGCAAGCCTTCTGATCCTTTGCAGTATCGGTGTTATTGTCATCCAAAGCGTACTTTACTGGCCCAGTTTGCTCGTTTGCCAAGTCTCAGCTGACTTGCCCAGCGTTTCAAGCGTGGATCGTAGTAGAGCTGTAACTTTTCAAATTCATTTTTCTAAATGAATATATTAAAAGTTTTCAAATGTCACATTGATTATTTTGGTTGAAAAAGCAGTTATGGTGAAATGTCAAGCGCGATGTACATTCAGAGGATCAAATGTTCAAGATATTCATTGATATTCTCTGCTCATACTTGCTGCTCACTATCACTTACCGATGATTTATCTGATAACTTATCAAAATGTCTAGATTCTCATTGTTACCATACTTCACATTTGAATTATCATTATTATGTACACAACAATAATACGTACCATAATTGTTATGGCACAACACACAGATATCATAATTAATTACATTATGATTACAATCGATAATCATGAGGTTGAGGCCAGACTTATCTCAGCATTTGGTTCATGGCGTATCAGTGGTTGTTGTTGTATCATTGCATAAAAAGCCATAAGTTTTGCTGGATAGAAACAAGCATCATTAACCTCCCGAATTACTTCAGCTCTTTGGTTCATCCATTTGTGAAGTTATTATCTCCGAATCATTTTATTTTCTCCAATCAGTAGCTAACAGTAGATGTCTTCTATTGGTTTGCTTCAAACTTTGATGGCTCAATGGTTGTTGACACTTCATTATTCCATGATATTAAGTTACTCGGGTTAGACAGGATCAGATAATATCATTAATGATTGGTCTTACTATTATAGATTAAAAACGAAGTTGCGAACGAACCGCACTAGATAATTTATTTGGCCATTCTTCCATATCATCCACAATAGGCCATAAGCCTTGCCTATATTCATATGCTTCATCTGATAGTGCATCTAGAACAAGAAATCGAGCCTTGGAACAAATATTTCGGAAATTGGTCTATAGCAGATGAGAAAAGAAAAATGTCAACTTTATCCAACTTATTTAAAAAAAAACTAGACATATTCAGTAACAATTCTGTCACCTCAAAGAACAAAGATTGCTCATATTAATTAATCACATTCACCAAAATAAACAGATTCGATATATTTTATTTATGATGTAATAATTAGAAAAAAAAATCCTTACTTTGAGCTAATGCTAGAACTGGGAGGATGCAATAAAGTAATAATTCTGTGTACATTTTTTGCACTCCGAGACCTGAAACTATATCGTTTGCTTTTAGAGTACAAGAAAATGAAGGCAAAAATGCACATCCGATAGACGCAAATGGAAGAGGGTATAAATTTAAGATACAAATAACGATATTTAATTTAATTGTCAAATTGGATTCAATTTCATTTTAGTTCTGTGGTATAGTTTGCATATGTTCCTTTACTTTACATTTACTACATTTAATAGCCATCTTTTAAGAAATAAACTTGCAATAATCTGGCCAAGATATGTTTTTCATCATAGATGAAGTGATTTTTTAATTTATCCTTTCATTCCATGTATTATGCAAATTTTGAAATGAATAATCTATCTTTAACCTCTGTTATTATTTTTATCACTTTTATGATATTTAATTATTTGATAATTTATTCTATTTACTTAGTTTTTCTCATTTTTTCAAGTTTTTTTTTTTTCTCTTTTTTTTTTAATAGTGATTATAGTTCGACCGTTGTTTTGAATGGTTCCTTCTTTATGGGATTCATTTATGGACGAAATTTAAAAAACAATAAAAGGAGAATATGATATGTAGATTTTGCTGTATAATTTCATTCCATGTTTAAGTTGCACGTGATAATAATCCAAGACATAATTAAACGGTAATATTCCATTAATCTATGCGATAAGATTTTTATGTTTTGAAAAAAAAAAAAAAGCTCGACGAAAAAGTTACTCATTAAAAAAGTGCCTGTAACATGTTTGGATAAATTGTTCTGGAAAAGAAAATAAAAATAAGCTGTACATGAAGCAAGCTTTTTACCACATCTATAAGCAATTCTTCAAGTAATAAATAAGCATTTATATGAAAATAACTTTATGAAGTACTAACTATACATTTAATCACATACAAACATAATGTGTAATATGTGTGACATATGTGTTACACTTGTGTATTTCTTATTTTTTAAATATACTTTATACCTATTTAGCATAAGCAGCTTTACTGAACATCATATAATAATTAATCACTTAAAATCAGTAATTAATTGAATATATTTTAAAAACCGTAATTTCATTAATTAAATATACAGCATTCATAAATCAAAAATTTTTCATTAAAAAAGCAATTCCTCAAGTAATTACAATAAAATACTCTTAAATTCAATAATGATTCACATTATGCAAAGTAATTTTTTCGTTTTTCTCATACTTTTTACCTTTTGCAAAAGCCATCCTTTAACTGTTTAATAATATTATTATAGGTGCATTTAATAGAAATTTAGTCTGGTGATATATTTGTCATTCAATGATTAGACACTTTTTTTCATAGAAATCTGCAAATAAATTATATTATTTAGTTAATGCATAATTCTTTATGAATTTTGAAAAAAGTTTGGAATATAGACCTTTTGAAATTTTACTTGAAAATTTTCATTTACTCTAATTAAATTTCAAATTATCGACAGATACAGAATGGAATGGAAATTCAAATTTCTTCTTCTAAAATGGTTTAAATGGAAAAAGAAGAACTTTTTTATCAATCATTGCAATCAGTAATAATACTCATCTAAAATTATTAGTCAGAAAGTAATTCATAAATACTTTAAACTTTGAATGTAAATATTTTGTTCAGTCAAATGCTATTTTGATGATTAAAAGACCGTAATTTTTTATTTTCGAATTGTGTCTAATACGATATCATATGTAATACGTAATACCTTATTTATTACACTTATTATGTTTGTCACATATATTGTATACCTAAAATCATTCTGTATTATTTGATTTGTTATCTTTACAAGTACAGTAGAATTCCAAAAGTGATATGTATGTATAAAGGTAAAATACCTGCAGTATAATATTCTAGCATATGTTGAAAGTGTGTTACCTTTGTAACTTTTGACATTACTGTTAATGTTTAGCGGTATACGCTATAAGAAGATTACAGTTGTAGAATCTTCAATGTATTTATTTTAATCGATGGAAATTTGTCCTCTAATATCTTGAATTTTTCAGATATATTTAAAGAAGAAAATGAATTAAACAAAAAAAAGAAAAAAATTCTTTTAAAACATTTAGGTATTTCATAAAGGTATGAAATTTCGTGAATTTCTTCTTCATGTTGTGAGAATTTTTTATCAGTTAACAACAAACATGTTGTTACTTCTTTACATGATACTCATATAAGATGTCATATGATATTTGAGAATTAAATTATAATTAAATTTATTATAAAAAGAATAAAAATAATTAATTTTTATTTATTAACAAAAACGTGATAAGTAAACATTTGCTGATGCATCAATGGAAATCATGCTTAATTAGGTATAAATTATTATCTATTAGAAAATTCTGGAAAGGATAAAGATGTTCCAAAGATAACTTTGATTTTTTCCACTCATACATACTTTATTATGCATACTTAAAAAAAAAAAATAAAAGTTTTGAAAAGATGATTTTGAATAGATGACGAAGATATAAATTGAATCAGAATAATAAGTTATTGAAAATTTAATGAAATAAATTGAAATGGTTAAAAAATAGAAAAGATATTTACTGGAATCGGTTAAAACGATTTCAATGTTTCAGTGAAACAGTATTAGAATGAGGAACTGAAAATGAAAGATGAATGAATAAATATGGTTAAGAAATGAAGGAAGGGAGGTGGTTCTATTTTATTATTCATGAAATAATTATTAACATTAGATGAAAATGAATAATAATAGTGTTGATGATGATTAATGTTATCAAATGAAAAAAACAAATAATATCAAATATATCATAAAGGAATTTTTTTTCTTTTTTTTTAAGAAATGAAAGATTGATGAAAAGATCAAAAATGTTTTACTAAAAAAAAGAAAAAAAAATTCATCTAATAATTTTGTCATTTGTTTTCTTTTTTTTTTTTTTACAATAGCAAAATAATAATTTTATTAAAAAAAATTGTTAAAATTTGATAAAACTTTTTTTCAACAATAAAATGTTAATTATTCCTTTATAAAATTAATAAATTATTTCATCAAATTTTTGTTAATAAAAATTTTTTTTTTCTAAATTTTAAATTTTATATAAAGTTAACAATTACGTATAATTATTATTATAATGATTAACTACAAATGTTTTCTATCTAAAATGAAAAAACAAAAAAAAAATTAACATAATTAATTCTTAGTGATTATCATTGTATTGATTAATAGTTTAATTCTCATAATTGTATTGTGCTAAATTTTCAACTTCACTTATCAATTTATCACGGAATTTTTTAGCTAATTAGAAATTTACATAGTTTAACGTTTGTAAAGGATGCTTAAATAATGCATTTCATTCAAACATTAAAATTTGACTGAAAAGTTGAAATTTTGTCAACGACTAATATAGCGTACTTTTTTTTTCTTTTTAATTAATACTTTTTATGATAATCAATTTATCATTCTAAATACTTTTTATGATAATCAACTTATCATTCTATGCTTGATGAAAGAAGATTTTTATGAATTGATTAAATTTTTATCAATCCTTTAGATAAACTCTAAATATTTTTCCATACTGATATCTCTTTACCAAAAATTATTGAGTCAAAAAAAAAAAAAAAAAAAATAAAAATAAATTGATTGGTTAAGAGTAAGCTTTTGTGAAAGTGAAAAAGAGTAAAGCAATTTTACACTATCATTTTATCATGAAAAATTTTTGAACTTTATCAACAGATGATAAAATTATTTATTATCATCATAAATTATCAAGATTTTGTTGAAATTAACCATCAATTCATTCATTCATTAAAATGCCATCGTTAATTGGCTACTCTAATTAGTTCCATGAAAATTCTTCACTCATACATGTGGTTGATATTTGAAATGATTGATTATGTAATAGAAAGAGTTTAATGAGAGAAAAAAAAAAGAATTCTGACGTATAACTTAAAGTTTAATATTCACTAAATATCATTTTTTTTTTCATCTCATATTATGTAAATGTCTTTGTATTTAACAAAGAAATTAACTTCTCATTCTTCCATACTTTGGTCATCTTAAAATTTTTTTTTTGTTATGGTCATCTTTCAGTGACCAGAAAAAGTATCTTGTGGTTCTTTTCTTTTTTCTTAACTTAAATATTTAACAGTATTTGGTTTAAATGGATGCGTTATCGAAATACATTTATAATAATTAAAATTCGAACAAATAGGTAAATTCGAAATAAATTGGGGATGTGTTGTATTCATATTGTTAGCTAATTAATCCAAGGAGGATATTGAAATAATTTGAATTAAATTAACTTGGGAATTAGATGAAATAGATTTTAAATATGCTAAATTGATATGGTCGAAAATGAATTAATTTGAATTAAATTAAAATAAAATAAGTTTTTATTAAATCGAACTAATTCCTCACCTTTTCTTTTCTTTTCTCTTTCAATTTTTTCCTTTCCCTTCTCTTTTATTGTTAATTAATTAATCGATTTTTTTTTTGATTTATTAAATTGATTCAGCCCAAAGAAGTCACAGGATAGTACGATTGAAAGTTAAGTCTATCCTGAATATTATTGGTAATTTAATTTGGAATTATTACGTTGACATATACAAATCAATTCTTTTCCTTTCTAAAATAAATAAAAAAACGAAAACTTATTCAGGTTATCTTTTGGCTTTATATTTTAATTGGCAAAACTTAATCAGAAAAAGTATTTGTGGTACGAAAATGAGATATAGGTAATATCATTAGGTAAAACATCATTGAGATATAGGTAATATCATTAGGTAAAACATCATTGAGATATAGGTAATATCATTAGGTAAAACATCATTATCATATAAATCAGAAATATCAAATATATTAGCAAAAAAAAGTGAATGAATTTCCAAAAATACCTGAAATCATTGCTTTTATTAGATAAATTTTTT